TAAAATAGATAAATTTCTAGCAAGTAGTCTGTGATATTGGATTGCATCTAATCATATAGATGACAGAGATAGAATTTAGATTTGTGCTATAAATTCTTTGCGTATGATACATAATTTTCTATCAAATATAAAAAATAGCAATAATTCTAGCTGGAATAGCAAAATATTTTTTGCGTGTACATGTAATACAATTGAAATAAGATTTTTAATTGAAAACAATAGTTTAAAGTTTTTATAAATAAAATTTCAAGTAATGTTTAAGATAGAGTTTATGCAAAGTTTTTATTTAAAATAAATCTTTTTAAAAAGATCGCTACTCTTCTACACGTGGAGGTACGAGAATTTCTTTTTGTTGTACGGTTTCCGTTACATTTGTATGGTCATCGTGAAATCTCGTAGAGTTTGCGTAAATGGAGGATCCGCATCGCGTTGCGAACGTTTCAAATGTCCGTAGACACGTTAACACCAAGCGCAACATTCTGAGCAACACCTCATATGGGCTCACCAAGGATGCGGAATACAAGTCTAGCGTGAAATACAGCGGCTATCTACAAGAAAAGAATTATCTACAACGTAGCGTATCAGCGGACAATGTTGTAATACATTCACGCGGTTACAAACCATCCGATAGACACGATCCAGTTAAAAGGAACTTCCTTGAGAATCTTACTTCGAGAATATTGCACTTCGGCATGGTGAGTTGAAGTTTTCAACTTGTAAAACTTTTGTTAAAAAAAGAAGTACATTAAATTCAACATGTCTTAAAGCTACTTGAATCTATATTACTTGAAGTTATTCGTATACAATGAATTCTAGAATTCATTTTTAAACAATCCTTTTATTTATAAATGGAAAGTTTAGAACCATTATTTTTTTAAGATATATATGAATTTAAATATACTTATTTTTCTAACTAGTAAACTAATAACTATATATATATATATATAAAATTTTCTTTTGAATTAAATTTTACTTAAAACTAATTTAAAATATATTTCTAAATGAAAGTCCTTAACCTTTAATTATTATCTTTTAATTATTAATTATTATTTCTAATTCAAAAAATTATTGATTATTCATTTTCATATCAGTTATTAATTTTTATTTAACAAAATAGTGGTCGAATATAACAAGAAAATTTTAGAACAGAAAAAGAAAAAGTATAATTTCATTCTGCATAATTCTATTGGTTTTGTTTCGTCAGCATGAGTTTGCGTGATGTGTGTGTGATTTCTAATTGCAGGAAGGGGGCGAGACTACCCCGATTAATTTGCAAAAACTACTCACTCCAGCATCAGATTCTCAAGAATTATTGCAATCAAAAAATAGTATGTGCCTTCATTGATAACAGAATAAAATAATTTTTATGATAAAATATACTTTAAAGAATTTTTCAGATGACAAATATTTATTTATTTAAATACTATATGAGATATATGAAAATGTTTTGAAAAAAAGGATTCACATTCGTTGAGATTAATAAGATGACATCGAAAATTTATTTCCAGAAAAAATGTTTGCGTCCTCGTATTTTTACGCACCAACGCATCCTACGGTCGAGGATCAGGTTGAACTTGCACGCCGAATTTCGCATTCACTCAGCGATGTAAAAAACGTGAAAAGCAAAGGACAAACTATGTACGTAAATAGAAAAAAGCGATCTGTTAAATGGATCCATGATGGCAATGGTACGCATTAAAATTATTTTTATAATTTATTTCTACAATTAAAACTGTCGCGTTTGTAAAAATTTATTGTATTCTTGTCTAAAGAATTTGATCATTTGTAGCTAAAATTAATCAAGGATAATCATAAAAAATAAACAAAAGAGAAACATCCTTTATTTACACTGTTGAAAATAAATATCTAAATAAAAAATAATTTTTAAATATAACATGAAATAAATTGTTAAAAGTTTTCCTATTTTTTTTATTTGTATCTGTGTATCCATTCATCTATAAATAATATTTATAAGAAATCTAGTATGAAAATTATTTAATTTGCATCATTAAATTGCTATGCAATTATTTTTCTAATTTTTAAAATTTTGTGTAGCATACAGCGATAATAGATAGTATTTCACAGGTATCGAGGACGAAGAGGAATCAACTACAACAATTCATAAGGTAAAAGATGTACATTCATTGAATTTTTTGCACTGTATCTAAACTGTGAAATATAATTTTTTCTAGGAAAAACTACCTCTCAAATGCGTAATGAATCCGTGCGGGAAAGTACTTGACATTCACGGCATTCAGGCATTGGGTGAAGAAGTCAATATTGCGCCGGTACCAAAAAATCCGGAAAAGCTTTTCGATATTGTCCGTGATTTGAATAATCAAAGAGGACGTGGTAAATATTATGCATTTAAATGACGTGAACTAATTAAAATTATATATATATTAAGATTACATGTATTGATTATATGTATTAAATATTATTTTGTTTAATATATCTAAATATAATAATACACATTAAAAAGTTTGTTTGTTATGAGAAATGTAATGTAACTAAAATTATTGCTGTATATAATATATGTATATGAACATAATGTTGCCAAAATATTCACAGGTGCCGAGATATTTGCGAAACGTAGGAAAAGATCTGAAAAGTGGGTGGTGGACCAAGAACAGCCACAGACACCCAATACGCCTGTCACACCGAAGACGCCAATGTATCCAGAAAAATTAGTAAGTAGCAAAATTTCTGTGGATCTATTTATTTGTTCGTAGAATAACAATTTTCCAATTTTATGTTATAAACTTAAAATTTTATAATATTATACCATTTCACTAAAAAAGAACTTAAACCAAATAAAATAAATAATTTTTTATTGAGCTTTGTTCTTTAATAGATTAAACATAATTTTATTGTAATTACAGGAAGTTTGTTTTATTTTATAAAAGATTGGATAAATTTTATTGTAATTTTAAAGAAAATAATGATAACAATTTGCATTATGAAAGACTAAAAAAATTATTATTTCAGGAAATTAATGGTAACACAAAATTTATGACGCCTTCTTCGTTGACACCTCGCACGCCAGTCTCGAGCATTGATAAATCATTTTATAATCCTTTTACAGTGGACATCTCTCTTGACACCGCAAATATCCCGATAACAGGTGCGTACAATATGAACACAATTCAATGATGAACACGAATAATTCCAAATGCAAGATGATCTCATTTGGCAGATTTAGCTCTGTTGGCAAACGGCGAGGTCTGTTTTCTCTATCCTCCCCGAGATGTTTTAAAATTACGAGCGGACATCAATGTCACCAAAGTCTTTCGAAAACCGAGGTCGAAATTTATTAGTGTTATACGATATCGCTTGACGTTATGTATATATTTATATAACACGTCAATATTACTTTTACCGCACGAAAACGCACATATTTTATATACTGCTAAAAATACGTTGAAATGTTCCAATACTACGTGTAGGTATTTGGAATTTTTTAATTTCACTTTTTCTGATCTCTTTTTAAGACTCTCAAAATTTTAATGACAAAATTTTATGTTTTATATTTTTATATTTTATACCTCATTTTTAATTTTTTAATTTTATTGTTTCTTAATCAACATAATATGTGTAATGTAAAATAAAATTAATAATATCAAGTAACATAATATAAAAATAGCTACAATAATAATATAATATTGTAATAGTAATTATATTATAGAAAAAAAGAAAACAATACGATATAATTTATCTATAAATAAAATAGGAAAATTTTGAGAAAAATTTTATTCTCTTTTTACTATCAAACGTGCATGAACAACAAAATGTTTTAGAATTTAGAGGTATTATACTTAATACGATCCATAAAATAGAGATCAATGTTGGACCAAGCCAGTTAAGCAGTTAAATCCAACTTAAATGATTTTTTTATATTGACTGCATGTAACAAAGCAACGTTAATGAGCGTTCAGTGATTCTTTAATACATGATTGCTTCTTACCTTTAGTTTTTGATCTAAGAAACCAATTATAATAAAAAATCGTTAAGCACTCACTGAGCTGCTTGGTCATCTGCTGAACTCAGCCATTCTTAACAGCCATAATCACAAACATTATCATTAGTTATTTAATCAGCAGAAAAGCCCGCTCTTGACATCTCAGCGATATATGTATCTAATTGTAAGACAAACAAAAAATCATATCTTTTGATAATAATCATGTTTTTTGTAACGATTGATTAAATAAACATTTCAAAGCAAACATCTAATATCAGAAAACACGTTGAAGCATCACAGAAAAAAAATTTACTATGAACGTTAATCCTATGCCACGACGGAAAATTTATTTGCCATGTAGGGATCGCAAATATTATTTGCAGGCGTTAACAAATATTTAATCTTTTTTGTACTTGCTATAAAAATTATTTGCAACAAATGCAAAATGTCAAATATGCAAATTTGTTTATTATAAAGCAAACAAATTTGATAATTAAATTTTGTAATCTTTTGAGTTTATAGCAAATTTTTTCTCTGTCTTTATATTGCCTAAAATATTAAGAACAATTGAATTTTCAGATAACAATTAAAACATCAGAATAGACATATAATAAAAATAAATTTTAAAAAATTTGAAATCTCATATTTTTGTTTATAAAAATAATAGAATATATATTTAAACAATTTCAAAAAATGATAATCAAAAGAAGAACAATTTTATATAAAAAAGTAAATTAATATT